GTCTCCAAAATGAAATTAGTGCTTACATTGACTTTATCAACACAATCATCAATAGAACACAAGAAGTCTTCACAAACATTGACATTGTCCTGAGTATTAGTTATCTTTTGTTTTCTGGCACCCCCTCGGCACACAGACTCAAAGTGTTCCTTTATCTTGCATTTGGGGCAGACAGTGTTAAAGGCAGAGCAGGTTTTTTCCAGGTCATGTCTGCGGGTTCTATGACTGTCTTTTGAACCGCAATAGTGGCATGGTCTTTGCTCTTGGCGATAACTACTGGCAGTCGCCGCAGCGGAGGTGTGCAGTGTGGTGGGTGCAGCTGTTCGATCATGTCGCCGCAATGCAGAGCGCTTACCCTTCTTTTTAGCCTTGATAACTTTAATCGTCTCCTCGAATGTCATACTCTGGTTTGTGTCCCTGCGCAAGTGGAATTGTATGTCTAAGAAGAAAATTATCCGTCGGTATCCAGATTCGAACCTTTGACCACTGAATGAGAGGCGAACACCTTAACCTCTAGGCCACGACAGCCCCGGGTTCTCTTTGTGTATCAACAAAACCATATGATGAGGAAACAACCCTAATAAATCGCACGAAAACCCCCAGCGTTCACTTGCTAGATAGCCAGCTTTGTATAACGTGAAGTGTGCCAATGTCTCTGGCTTTCGACTCTCAGGACAAAAGCTGTGACCTGGAGCCTTTTAAAAAACGAAACTGCAGCAACTCTTCATTGCTCCAACTTAAAGACTTCGCCTTTCATGAGACCTGTCAACAACTGAATTGTGTTTTTACAATTTAAGAAAGCAACAACAAAAACAATAACAAAACAAAACAAGACATCAAAACAAAATTTAAACACTAAAAAAAAAGCCCACGAAAGCAAACAAATAACAAAAATATTACGCAAACAAGAAATTTTAAAAAATAGAAAAACAGAAAAGGAACCAAACCAAAAAGAAACCCCAAACCATGAATACATTTTTGCCACTTTTCTGAAGGTACAGATAATGCTATCTTTGCCAAAAGTGGTCAAATTGAGCCGATAAAATGACAAGACACGAATTGGTGCGTCCTATTCTAGAAAAGGATTGTTTTTTTTTCCTTTAAAAATATAAAAGAAAGATTTCTGGAATAGAAGTGTGTGGGATGTCACGACCCCTTACTTTACGTGTGCGGGTTATTTTTCCGTTAATCAGTTCACTGCTGCAGCCAAGTCAACTGAAGTCGGGAGAACACATATTATAAGAACGCAGGACACGCGAACATAGGAACAGGGTAATAGTGATGATGATGATGATGATGATGATGATGATGATGATGATGATGATGATGATGATGATGATGATGATGATGATGATGATGATGATGATGATGATGATACTAATAATAATAATAATAATAATAATAATAATAATAATAATAATAATAATAATAATAATAATAATAATAATAATAATAATAATAATAATAATGAAAGTAGCCTTTCGTTAGCTCCTTCTTCTTCTTCTTTTTCTTTTTTTTCTTCTTCTTTTTCTTCTTCTTCTTCTTCTTCTTCTTCTTCTTCTTCTTCTTCTTCTTCTTCTTCTTCTTCTTCTTCTTCTTCTTCTTCTTCTTCTTCTTCTTCTTCTTCTTCTTCTTCTTCTTCTTCTTCTTCTTCTTCTTCTTCTTCTTCTTCTTTTACTCCTCCTCCTCCCCCTCCAACTCCAACTCCTCCTCCTCCTCCTCCTCCTTCTCCTCCTCCTCGAATCAACTAGAAAGTAAAGTTTTCATTTCAGTTGTAAAGCATATTATTGCTATGTCTGTTTCCTTTGAGGTATGAAGCGAGTGCAGTGCTGCAGAATTTTGTGGCCGTTCTCATAGTATTGACATAGGGGTGTGTCTCAAGCTTTAAATTTGGAATTGCTGTTCTGTTCCAGCCCTTGACTTGACGAATTACGCAACCTTTACAATGTGGATATTGTGTGGATAGATAGTTAAAACGACACGTGGGCGTATTTTAACAAGTTGACAAAAATAAGTTCCTTTACTCACAATAAAGTTGTTTACCTTTTTACTTTGACCTTCCCGTCATCCACCACAACACTCAAATTTTACAAAAATAAATGGCAGCAGACCAAAGAAAATTTCGAATAAATGCAAACTTTAATAAGTTTTAAGTCGTTTTTTAATTTTCAAAGAAGCGACAGCAGTGGCGAATAAAAAAAATACAAACGTGTGAAACAAAGATTAAGCATTTGTAACAGCTTTAAATCAAAGCTATGTTTCAGTCATGGTTACACATGGCCTTTATTCAGATCAAAAGTACACAAAATAGCAAAACAAAAGCCAATTTAAGATGAGATGAAAATAAAATAAGATAATACTTTATTATCCCAGAGGGAAATTTTTCGTGGCTGTACAGGACCGTAAAAACACATGCAGGTATACATAAAACTCTAAATTATGTATTACTCTCATTAAAATTCAATATGAAAAGAGAAGTAAAGCTGACAAAATGTACATATCACATCAGATACATCATTCAACCACTTGCAGAAATTTAATTAAAAGACCTTTGGAGTTATATAGATACATACTCGAAAGAGCAACACACGTTGGTGCCTATTCTGACAATATCCCTATGCTAGATAATAAAAAATGTCTTTTATATTTTTCTTTCTTTGTTTTTAGAGGTACATATCTCTCATTGCTTGATCTGACAATTTGCGTGGAAAGGGGGTGTGATGGATCGTTAATAATGCTTTTTATATTTTTTATGCTTGTAGTATTACACTATTCATCAATTCTAGTAAAAACACATCCAGAGATCTTGTTGGCTTTCTTAATGGTTCTGTCGATTTTGTCTTTATCTTTCACCCTACAATTCCCAGCCCAGCAGCAAATACAAAATAATAGCATGCTTTCAATCATACAATGGTATAAAAAGGACATAATCTTATTATCGAACACGAACACTTCTTAATTTCATTAAAAGGAACAAGGTAAGCCTTGAAGTGAAACATGGAAAAATTATGTGAAATGAGACTAATTATAGTTTAAATGAGACATAATTATAGTTGAACTGAGGCAAAAACGTAAACAAGTTTAAACTTTTTTTTAAAAACGGTTATTATCTTTAAAATTAACAAACTGTACGAGCATTATGTAAAATACATATAGTCTAGAACTAATTTAAAGAAATTTAAGCCAAATCTACTTTTCTTTACCGACACTGAGGCATACAGGCTTGCTTTTCTCTGATTGCTTCTGCGATTTGCATCCTAGAAACAGCCTGGGTTTCCTGTTCCGCCAACTGGACAAGAGTTACCTTCCTTTGCATCTGCTGAATGAGCATTTTGTCTCTTGTGTTTCCTAACTCACAAAGTGCTCGTTGAAGGGGACCAAGCCTCTCTATGACATGACATTCACTGACACTATCAGTGCCGAGGGTGACCTGGTCTATCATTAGTAACAGAAGGGGAAATAATAATAATAGCCAAGCATTTTCACAGATTCTTCCAATATGTCGCAAACCGTACCAAGAAACCTTACAAAGAGGTATGCTTTGATTCACTTTGAATGCCACCACGCTCATTCACACGGGCAAGCTGTGAATGCCACCGGTCCTAATGGATTCGATGTTTAATACCTTTTTCCCTGCTCACCTTTCCTTAGCATCAGTGAGAGCCTCTTTTTTATTGTTGTGTCGACATCTTCAATTCCGACTTTTTCCAACTCTTCATTATTTGTAATATTATATTCATTGCATTTTATTAGTAACATTCTTCGTAGACATTTTGTTTGGAAGCCTTTAAATTTGTGCTAAATCGTCGATGAAGACAAATAATATCGCTTCTTTTTTTTGCATCGGAAATGCTGCATATTATTGATGTCTGGTTGCTTTAGTCCTATTAGAAATCCTTTCTTCACGGGGAGGGGGGGGGGGCATCCTTTACTGTCTTCACTGTGATCAAATCGCACTGGAGGATGATATCATTGTTCATGGTTCTTACTGTGACGCGCGATGCGTTTGATAACCTAATAGCCTTTTTCGTATCTCGTTAATCAGCACCACCAATGTGTAGACGGGATGATCGTCAACTAGATCTACATGTATTTCCCCACAAGACACGTTCCATTTCATCGGGTTAACTTTTCTTTTTGTTTTCCACTCCGGGGGAGAGAGACAACACCATATCTGCGTGTGTCCTGTGGTTGATTTATTAAATATGTAGTGGTGAAAATGGTATAGGTTTAACGCCCCTATCAACACTGTTAGGTTTTTTAAGAGGCGGACCTCTGAGTTTAACGTTCATCTCCGAAAGGACGGAGCCAAAAGGGAAATTCGTGTATAAAGTATGTAGTGGTCAAGAAATCACTAGGTGCAGGGGTAGGCTCATCAAGGGCACAGACTTCTTTGTACATATAAAAAAAATGTAGACTGACCGTTCGTCTAGTCTCTATGTGTAAATATATTTTTATGTATACAAACCTCAGAACGTGTTTTGCTTATTATGAGAGTTTCCTAATGCCACATGCAAACAGAAAAGCAAGAGAACAGTCTTTGATTAAAATTGATAGTGCCTTTGAGTGGTTGTCCCATGGACATGAATAATAACAATAATAATAACAATAATAATAATAATAATAATAATAATAATAATAATAATAATAATAATAATAATAATAATAATAATAATAATAATAATAATAATACCGGAAGCTATCATGACGGCCACCCTGTGTTCTCTAGAAAAAACAACTTGACTGCGCTGGTGCCCCGTGGGCGCGCAAATTAAGAGCAAATTACCGGTCTCGGTATGATCGAGTGCATCTTTTCCTCCTTGCCTTTCACTTTTTCCCAAATAGAGAAAAACGATGAGCTTCATGGTGAACCGGAATTACATCAGAGTGCACAGTCTTTGGTATAACAATACAAGGTTACGGGTTGACCAAATAACCCACCACGATGAACATTTATCTGTACCATAGCAAGAAAAGACAATGAGTCACCACTTTTTTTATTTGTGAAGGAGGTCAGAGTTTATCCCACAATGCGAACAAGTCAGAAACATCGTGAAGCGAATTTTCAACTGTCTGGCGTTCGGTATAGAGAAAAATATATCAAGTCTGAAACTAAAAGTCTAACCCGATGTTGGCTCTAATAATCTTCTGGGTGATAGGTAAATCGCCGATTAAGGTGTCTTCGTGACGAAGAACAAATTTGAGCCGTTTTCGTATCGACATCAGAACAGCCTTGTGTGATTTGTAAAGGTTCGGGCCAGAAGAAAAACACTACCCAAAATATTTCCATTGGAACCAAAGTGGGCTGTGACTGGTTCTTGTCCAGGCTAGTGATTGGTTGAAACCCGGGTTGTGACTGGCTCCAGTCGGGCCATGATTGCTTCCCGTCCGAGCCTGCCAAGAACAAAGCTGTTATAATTCTCCACTTAAATCTAACCTGGGCTCCAACTGGCTATCTGAGTGACCAATCATCTGTGACAGCGCATCCCAGAAGTTCTTGTTGATGTTGTCGTCCTCGAGCTCTGCCTGGGGTGGGTACTCTGTGTACTTGTCATCCCTCAGCACCACCAGGAGGTCCCTGAATAGCAGCCGGTAGTCCATGGGCGTACGCAGGAACAAGTGCAGCACCGGACGCTTCTCGAAGACCATCTCACAAAGCGCCATCTGGACGCCATATTCTGAATACTCGTCATCGAGGAAGTCAGGGGAGATCACAGGGAGGGTGAATGTGCTACTTTGCACAGCACACGTTATGTTTGTGGTGATGTAGGTGCCTGGCATGAAGTCTCGTTCTGCAACACAAAGTTTGTGACCTCGGTTTGTCTCCAGCTCTGTCAGCATTGTGTGTAAGACAAAATCTCTATCTTCTTCAGCGTATATTACGAAAGCATCGAACTTGTGGCGTGACGTTTGCGTACTTGGATGAAACCCAAACCACTTGGAAAACTTCACTTTGTGCAGGTATCGTAACTTCCAGCGGTACCGATACACCAAGAATACGCTCGAGAGAACAAGGAATAACGAGGGGCATGCAACAGAAATAAAGACCACATTGAACCACGGTGTGCAGCGTCTCTTCATAGACATCACACGCTGGCTTAGGTTTCCTATAGTGTCGTAATCATTGCTTTCAAAGCGACAAACCAGGAAGTCTTCACCCGTTAAATGGACGTTGGTCGTTGCTAACCATGATAATATTTCGATACCTTTACAAGTGCAAGGGAGTGGGTTTTTCCGCAAATCTAAACTCACGGGATGGTGGAGAGCTAATGTGTCCAGACCATCTCGTGTTCTTCTACCAATCCACGCGATAGAGTTTTTGCTGGCGTCAATTGTTGTCAAGTGTGGCATACTGGATACGCTAAAATTCAAACTCTGAAGTTTGTTATCTGATAATATCAACTCACGAAGTCTACTTAAACCCTTGAAAAAGTCGGGAGGCAACTTATAAATTAAATTCATGGACAAATCTAGCCAAAGTAAACGAGCAAGTCGTTTGAAGATTATTCCCTGTTCGTCGTTAGCAAACTGTGGGCCCAGTATATTGTTACGAATGTTCAGCAGTTCAAGGGAATTGTTTCCAGGAAAAAAGCCTGGACGGATGTATTGACAATAGTTCCCCTCTAGAGAAATATTTCTTACATTCCCATACAGCTTGCCGTTACCCCAGCTGGGCAAAACACTGAAAGAAAAATCTATCTCTTCTAACTTTTTATTCTCCCTGTGAAACAAGACTAATTCGCCATATAGTAAAAACTGTGGTGCCCAAAGCGTTTGCAAATTTGGAGGCATCGAAAACTTCTGAACTGTATTTATGGGCAGAATTGTTAAGCCGTCTGTATTCATCTTCTCTCGAGTTTTATCTCCGGTATCAGTCCTGTCTTCTGAATTTGGCAGTTCTGTATGAAGAAACGGCTTCGACATTGCTGGAAATTCATATTTGCTTAGAAATCCACCCGAATACGCCTCTGGGTCTATCATGTCTGGAAGCATAACCTCGCATGCCTCGCTATCTTTGTTTTCATGTGGCTTCGGTTGTAATGCTTTTACTTTCCCAATGTCTTGAGAAGTTAAATCTAATTTCGTAAGATTGTTCATGCTGGCCAAAGAGGAGAGTTGAAAAGTATTTACGGAAAATCTGTTATTTCTCAGTACTAGTGTCTTTAATGTTTGTGGGAGAGCCTTGTAGAAATTCATCTCGACCATAGCGAGTAAATTATCCGACAAATCCAGCAGTTCAAGCATAGTGTTTTTGATGAATTTCGAATCCTCCTCAGTCAAGTACCTACAAGGGAGACCGTTGTGGTGAACTAGATGGACAAGTTCTAGAGATTTCAATGAAGAATTTTGTAAACTAGCCAACGAGCGCAAAGCTTTACTGACGCCAAGGTCCTTGGAATAAGAAATCTTTAAACGTTGTAACTTGGTCGTGTTGACAAAAGCGTCACTGCTGATCGATGCCATCAAGCAGAATTGTATCTCTAGTGATGTCAAGTGTGGCGTATTCTTGAAAAATGATGAGGTCAAATTCCCAATATTACAATGGTTTTTCTCTCCAACGCCAACTTTAAGAGATTTGAGCTTTTTAAGATGTTTTACTTGGGGACCCAAAACAGCACCGTTGGCCAAACCGTCCATATTTAACTCCCTTAGATTTGTCAAATAGCCTAGAGCCTCATCCGGGTACCTAATAGCTCCACCACTGCTACCGGCTAGGTTTAATACAATGAGAGATCGTAAATTCTTGAAAAGCCGAGGGGCCATACGTGCAGGGTAATAACTCAAGTGAGGGTTGTTGTTAAGAAGCAATGTATGTAATTTCGGTAAGCTGTCAAATGTTCCTTGCTCTATATGCTTGATGTCATTCAAAGATAAGTCTAATATTGCCAACTGGTCTAGCCCAGAGAATGACAAGTTTGTAAGAGACTGAATCCTATTATCATTCAAGGATAATTGTCTCAAAGAAGGCAGCATTTTGAAAGCATCCTCTCCAATTGAAGTAAAATTGTTCTTGCCCAATAACAAAATCAACAAAGAGGAAGAGGCAGTTACTGCAGTAGACTGAACAAGTGAGGTCATCTTATTTTGTTGAGCGTCGACAAAGGCAAGCCCAGGGTAGTCAAGCAAAATTGACAGATTAAAAGAACGTAGCCTATTTTCACTAAGTGTCAACTTGTAAATTTTTGGGGGAAGGTCTTGTGGAATGCGGTACAGACGAAGGGAAGAACAGTTGGCTTGAATGCGCTGATTATGTTCCTCTTGGTGGCAGATACAATCCGTTGAAGCGCTACAGTTGTACACGTCATGGCCAGCAGACGTCTTCCAATCTGGCAGTGACTCGTCCTCACAGGTCAGAGTTCGGTCATCTGTTTCTTCCTTGCTGTTCGGATCACTCGTCAATCCTTGGGACACGTCCAAGAGATCCTTCCTTCTGATTCTCTGGGATTTTCGGGACGTTTGCTTCGACAATTTTTCCGGGTCACTGAGGTCGCGTCTATATTCATCTCCGGACTTGGCTCTTGGGGTAAGCGGCCGTTCCTTTTCCCAAGCAGACAGGTTTTTTTCTACAACCTTGTCGATCAATGCGTCGCTTTCAGCCTCTGGGGAAGTCGGTGGAATTGCAGTTTGGACAAAATCTTTCAATAAGACGACAAGGCCCAGCAGAATAATAGCCTTTGGTCCTGCCATCATTTTCTGTAAAGGAAAGAAAAAGATACAGTCTCAAGACAGGGAATATAATACATGCACCTGTAATGGATACACACACACACACATATACACACACACACACACACACACACACACACACACACACACACACACACACACTTATATGTAATATATAGAGAAAGACATATATATATATATATATATATATATATATATATATATATATATATATATATATATATATATAATATATTATATATGTATATTTATACAAATATATATGTATATATATATATATATATATATATATATATATATATATATATATATATATAAAGAGACTGAGAGAGAGAGACAGAGAGAGATGGACACAGAGAGAGAGACACAGAGAGAAAGCGAGAGAGAGAGAAAGAGAGAGAGAGAGAGAGAGAGAGAGAGAGAGGGGGGGGGAGGATGGAGAGAGCAAAGTTAGGAAAAACAAATGCAAATAAAATAAGGTTTCAACTTCCAGGACTTTCACGTAACACGGGGGGGTTCTAAAGCTTAATCCCCGAGATATTCAAGGTAACAATGAATTCTATTGGGGTTGTGAGTGTGACCGATAGTAGTTGTGAGTATAGACGTCAGTATAATATGGGTTCGTGGAGATATTAATATTTTTGCTTATACTCGTAGATTTGAATTATAATATCCTTGAGCGGGTATTCTTCCTGTATAGCGAAAATATCATGAGACACTTAGAAGAAATGGAAAGTATCTCGATAGGGGGACTTAATATAAAAACAATCTAAGATATGCAGAGGACACAGTACTAATAGCAGAAGATGAAGAACACCTACAGAATCTATTAAATGTCACCGTACAAGAGAGTGACAACATGAGCTTAAGCCTAAACATCAAGAAAATCGAAACAATGGTAATAAGCAGAAAAACTCCAACCCCAAAATGCAATATCAAAATCAATTATACCACTCTCAAGCAAGTACAACATTTTAAATATTTGGGGACCATTATATCATCAGATGGGAGATGTCACTTCGAAATTAAAAGCCGCATTTGCCAAGCAAAACCAACCTTCCACAAAATGAAACAGATACTCACAAACATCAATCTGTCACTGGAAACGAGAAATAGAGTACTGAAATGTTACATCTAGCCAATCCTATTATACGGGTGCGAAGCATGGACATTCAATAAACAGCTGGAAAGAACAATTGTTGCGACAGAGCTGTGGTTCATAAGACGCGTGCTACGTTTCACATGGACAGCTAGAAAAGCAAATGAAGGAGTCTTGGTTGAAGCAAATTGCTGAAGACAGCTTATGACGAATATAAGAAAGTGACAGGCAAATTTCTTTAGACACACAATACGGAAAAAATCATTGGAGAACATTGTAACAACAGGCAAGTTTGATGGAAAGAGAGACAGAAGCAGACAGAGGGAAAAGATGCTGGACAAGAAGACAACATGGCTAGGAGCAACAAGAACAACAGACACCATTGCTGCAGCGCAAGACAGAGTGAAGTGAAGGTGCATGATCGCCCACACCAGTCGGCAAGGCACCGGATAATGATGATGAGAGCGGGTGCTGCCTACAACAACTTCGATGCGAAACGTTCGCACCGTGGGCGCCAACAGGAAGGCCCAGACAACCGTGCCGCTATTTTCGAGAGCGCAGCACCTTTCCCCCATCGCCCTAACATATTTGGTTCCAAACTGAGTCAAATTTTGCGCTCCATAGAGAACCGAAATTACTAGTGCGCGTGATATTCTTGCACCAACGTTGGTTGTTTAATGCGAGAAGAGGCGGGCAACGCCCTATTAAATGAATCTGAATATCCGGACTTTTCATGAGTTGTTGGAAACAAAGTGACGCGCTCCAAAAGGGACCATTGCTTCATGGGCTCATAATCCAGATATCGGGTTACTATCTCTAGAAGGAATCACTGATTCGAGAAGTAACTGATAATCCGGATCATTAATCATTAACCCCAGTCCAAACTCATTATTTTTTAAGCGTCTTTTGCTTGGACTCACAATTTCAGGGTTGATTAAAAGTGAGGCTGAGGGAATCTTGCAATCTGAGGACACGATGATTAATCATGGTTGTGCGTCTTCGAAGAACGCAACCAAATATTTCGACTCTGCCTGTCAGGTCCCCAGTTGGCTCCTTCTTACTTTACAACTGTCGTTCAACCCCACCCCTGATCTTAAGGTAGGTAAGATGTAACGCCTACCCTTCTCGGATAAGGGTGCAAAATCTCGGAGATCCTATGAGCACGTTGCGCCAGTTAAAGATCCCTTTGTGGTCCTAAAAACGATTATAGTAGACTTCGCCTGCCAACCGGGCAAAACTGCGCGTGACTGTGAAAAGCATAATACGGATGGGATTGGGTGGAGTCGGGTTGGGTCGGATCGGGCTCGGATCGATCGCCCGACTCGTTGCCTGAAAACAAACACGTTTGTTTTTTCGGCAACGAATCGGGCTCTATCGGTTTGTGCCACAATAGCCGCTTTGCGCACTCAATATGTATAGCAAACCAACCCGACAAGACCTGATCCCCAATGGGCACCCCGTATAACCACAACACCCCAAACACCGTTAGGGGGCTCTAGTGGCCTAGAGGGTAAGGTGTTCGCCTCTCATCCAAAGGTCCCGGGTTCGAATCCAGGTAACGACCGAAAAACAATCTTTTCTAAAATTGTCTCCTTTCACCTCCTTTCCTGCTCTCTGGCAATGCACTGTCGTTTGCTTTCGTTATCTTTTTCTGCCCTCACTCCCCTCACCTCCTTTGCCCCCTCCTCTGGGCTCCTGGCTCTTTTTGTAGCCTTTCTACTGTTACTCCTTGGCTCCTTACTGCTATCTTTCAGCCACACCCCTGATCTTCTGGAAGGAAAGGTCTACACCTAGCCTTCTAAGACAAGGGCAAAAAATCTCGGAGGGCGTGTGTGCAAGTTGCGCACGTTAAAGATCGATGAGTACGCTTCGGCCGCCACATAGACAAAATTCTACATTTCCTACCAACTGAAAAAGTTTAATGTGTCCCGCGCGCTCATATGACCTTATGCAGTTGCCAACGACGTAAAACACTTATAAAAAATAAATAAACACAGGGACAATGTGTTTGCTCCGGTCACAAAAATACGCATGCCATAGTCGTGTGTTTGTAAATCGGTTTTTAAAAAAGTAACCCCCCCCCCCCCCCACTCCCAGTTTTCGAACATTACAAAGAAGAACTCGTAAACCCTATTTCGTGTTCTTGGTGTTCTTGTAAGAAAAAGCAGCACACCCCAAAGGACCCCCCCCCCCCTCTCCTTTGTCCCTCAGGCGGGGACCCCCCCGTGACCCCCCTCCACCCCCCCCCCCCCCAACCTGCTGTCAAACACCACAGTTACCTTGGAAGTTGCGCGCTAAGTCGAGCTGTTCGAAATGGCCGGGGGGGGGGGGGTGCAACTTTACTTTTACTTATAAATCAACATAAATCTGAGCTTTGGGTGGATGGGAGTTGAAGATGAAAGCGCATTATATGTGTCGTTGGGACAAAGAGAGCCTTTGAGTTCATGTATGTATGTTTAGTGAAGTCAAATATCGGTACTTTTTTAACGTAGATAAAGTAACATTTAAACTCAGTGGGATATAATGGTTCTAAATAGCAGCATATGTTAGATTGACTCGTTTTTCTTTGTGCTTATTTCCCCGGTCAGTCTATATCTCAAATCGGCATAAAAACCTTGTGTAACTGGTTCCCATTAATTCTGGTTCTTCGACGCAAAAAAAAAAAAATTGAAAACTAATGAAGGTGAAGCCAGACAACAACGACACAGTAAAGAGGCAAACAACAGCAAAACAAAACAAATCAAACAAAGAACAAACTCCAAAGTTGACAACAACAGGAATTGCACAAGTGTCGGTATCTTCTTATCTGCGTAATAATAAAATTAATAATTGTACTTATATAGTGCATAACCATGATCCTGAGCATGCTCTATGCACTTTAAAGCTAATATTACTCAAGTAGACTAATAAACCCAAGAACACCCAGAAACACTCTCAGCGTCCGGGGAAGTATATAATGCTAGCAGCCTATAAAGAACTCTAAAACTAACAAATAAATTATGACAAAACCTCCCTCTATCAACTCCCTCTCTCTCTCTCTCTCTCTCTCTCTCTCTCTCTCTCTCTCTCTCTCTCTCTCTCTCTCTCTCTCTCTCTCTCTCTCTCTCTCTCTCTCTCTCTCTCTCTCTCTCTCTCTCTCTCTCTGTGTGTGTCTGTGGGTTCGAATTCCGTCAGGGGCCCCACGTTGTGCCCTTGGGAAATGTACTTGCACGAATTTTCCTCTCTTCGCCCAGGTGGAAATGGGTACCCGGCTATAGACAGTAAACGATCTTGTCAGTTTGATAGTGTTTGAGCGCGTGCAAGCAGCTGATTAAGGGGGTGGGGGGGGGGGGGGTGCAACACCCCAAAGTCCCGATTCGGCTCCAAATTATGAAATTTGTGTTGTAGGCATTTTTAGCTTTTTCATCCTCTCCTACAGCTATTTCATCGTTTTAGAAATCCCAAAATCCCCATTTCTTCCTACACCGGGCATGTTTGTCACCACCATTTCCTCATAAAGTCAATATTTTATTTTTCTTTATCGGCCGTTTTCTCAAAACGTGACTTTTCTCTATATCTTTTTGAATAACTCCACCATTTTTCATCCAATCTTCATGACATTTTGGCAGAATGAAGTGAAGATGTAATACTAAAACTTTGTCTGTTTAATATTGTATATAGATCTAGATCTATGGAATATATTTTTGCTGATTGTGTCTTGAGTGTGGATTTTCACGGATTTTTTTTGCAACTTTAATATTACCTCAGGAAAAAAAATTATTTAAAAATTTCTAATTCGTTTAAGAAAAAAAGCAAACAACAGACTAATTTTTAGATCTAATGTTTTTCTCAGCACGCATGCAAAAGTACAATCAATTTCCGCGAGCAGTCAGTGCAGTATTCATTACTTAAGACTTGTCAACAAAAT